GTGGTTGGGTGGCGGTGCTCTTTAATTGGATGCCAGTGTGCTTGCCTCGGTAATAGACTGGATTGGAGCCAACAAACTGAAGCTCAATCCAGGTGAGACTGAGACAATGTGAGTGGGTGGTTCCCTAGACTGGAGGGATGGGGGTGGCCTGCTCTTGATGGGGTTACACTTCCTCTGAAGGAGCTGATATGCAGCTTTTGGATCCATTGGTGCCACTTGAGGGCCAAGTGGCCACAGCGGTGCAGAGTGCCTTCCATCAGATTCGGCTGGTGGCCCAGCTGTGCCCTTATCCGGACAGGTATAGCTTAACGTCTGGGGCCTACGCTCTGATAACATATAGATTAGATTAATCAGGTCCTCCCTTAAAGAGGGGACGTGTTGCGGTGGGACCTGGCAACCTAACCCTGTGTTGTGGGTGGGTACGTTTGGATAGCCACAACACCCGATTGGTAGGTCCCTTGATGCAGGGTTCAATCAGGCCAATGGGGCGCAGCCTTAATGGATCAAGAGACCTATTTATACCCATGTACGTGACCCAGAGCTTCCTCTTTTGGCTCCTGCATCGGAACACCGCCCACCTCTCCCTGCATTTAGGGTATTTTGCGATTGACCTTGCTATGCCGTCATGTGTCGTCTGTAGTTGGGACAGGGGCACGGCAGGAATTTCCCCCACTTGGCTGATTGGCTGTTGCCATTTGGGTTTCGCCTGCCGGAAATCGTCACAACTTGTAAGGTTGCGGATAGGCTCTGGTTCAGGTGATAGGGATGGGAGAACGCTCTCACCATCCATATGTGAAGGGTATTCCGTTAAAGGAATCCAGGGACTCGATGGTTTGGTCAACCCCTGAGAAGGGGTTGTGCCCGTGCCTGAGTCCAGGGGGACATTTGGGTGGCGGAGATAGCCTGTTCCCGGCTTTCCGCTTATCCAGGTGTTCAGCCTAGGCTGACCTATGCTGGTGCCCTGGGTCAGTGCTACCTGCAAGGGTGCAGGGAGCTAGTCGAACCAGAGCCTATGCAACCATACACTTGCTGTAATCAATAAAGTTGTGGCCTAAATTCTGCTAAAAACCAAACCAAAATTTGAGTCTTGTCTGAATTTATTTCAGGGGGCGGGTTAAAGGTCTCAACACGCAACCGCAACACATTATACGTGTGTCTGAATACAGTTTGGAGACTTCAGCTGGTGAAGAATCCAGAGGCCAGGTTGCTCACTGGGGCAAGACAGTTTGAGCATATTACACGGATCCTGGCCTGACTTCACTGGCTGCCAGTTAGTTTCTGGGCCCAATTCAGAGCGCTGGTTTTGACCTTAAAAGCTTTAAATGGCTCAGGACTGCAAGACCTCAAGGACCACCTCTCCCCATATGAACAGACCTGGAACCTGTGGTCATCATCTGAGTCTCTTCTTTGTGTGCCTCATTCATGAGAGGTCTGGAGGGCCTTTTCTATGGTGGCTCCCCGCTTGTGGAATGTTCTCCCATGAGATGCTCACCTGGCGACTTCATTACATAACTTTAGGCGCCAGGTGAAAACACTTCTCAATAACCAGGCCTTTGGCGGATTAACATCCTATGGTCTTTTTAATGTGTTTGGTGGGGGGCGGTTTACTGGTTTGTTTTTGTTTTATTATGTCTTTTGTGTTGTCGTTTTGTATTTTTATGTTGTGAACCACCCTGTGATCTTCAGATGAAGGGTGGTACACAAATTTAATAAACAACAACAACAACATCTACTCATTGTGTAGTAGTATTTGCAGAAAATAGCATCTAGGACCTGATCTCTGATGAAGCCATCATAAGAAAGATAGATGAAACCTGATTACTAGAGAGGGAGAGAGGGTGATCACACTACAGCAATCCAATGACTAGAAAATAAGAAGTATGAAAGAAAAATGCACTAAAGGCAGGGGGGACTTCAGCGATTTCTATGGCCTGGTGTCCAAACAAATCATTCATTGATCACAGCTGTGACTTCACTCAATTGCTAAAAATATTGAAAGGCAGGAGCAGTCAGGCTGTCTCAACTTATAGAAGTTGCTTCATTACCTGCACATTTTGCTTTATAACTTTATTTCCAGGAGGGCTAGAAAAGTACTTTGAAAAGAAAAGAGAAAAAGCTCAGAATCTTGCAGACATTGTCCCTGGTGCAATTGCTATAATTGCGCCATTATAATCCGGTCATCAGCATCTTAAAAAGCAGAGACATCACCTTACCAACAAAGGTCCGTATAGTTAAAGCCATGGTTTTCCCAGTAGTGATGTATGGAAGTGAGAGCTGGACTATAAAGAAGGCTGATCGCCGAGGAATTGATGCTTTTGAATTATGGTGCTGGAGGAGACTCTTGAGAGTCCCATGGACTGCAAGAAGATCAAACCTCTCCATTCTGAAGGAAATCAGCCCTGAGTGCTCACTGGAAGGACAGATCCTGAAGCTGAGGCTCCAATACTTTGGCCACCTCATGAGAAGAGGCCCTGATGTTAGGAAAGATTGAGGGCACAAGAAGAAGGGGACGACAGAGGACGAGATGGTTGGACAGTGTTCTCGAAGCTACAAACACGAGTCTGACCAAACTGTGGGAGGCAGTAGAAGACAGGAGTGCCTGGCGTGCTCTGGTCCATGGGGTCACGAAGAGTTGGACACGACTAAACGACTAAACAACAACAATCCGGTCGTGTTCCATGACATGTGTCTAAATCTGTGGGATTGCATTTACAGTGGTACCTCAGGTTAAGTACTTAATTCGTTCCGGAGGTCCGTTCTTAACCTGAAACTGTTCTTAACCTGAAGCACTACTTTAGCTAATGGGGCCTCCTGCTGCTGCCGTGCCTCCGGAGCCCGATTTCTGTTCTTATCCTGAAGCAGTATTCCTGGGCTAGCGGAGTCTGTAACCTGAAGCATATGTAACCCGAGGTACCACTTTATAGGGGAATGGGGCAGTAGCAATCTTAATAAAGCAATTAGTCTTTTCTACACTGCAAGCATCCAGGAATCTGCAGTATCCTGCATTTGTAACAGTTAGGAAACTGTCACATTTTGCAACACATTTCAAAAAAGAGATTGGATGAAAATCCGGCAAATGAGAAATTATACCTGTCTTTTGTCAGCAAAGTCCATCCTTGGGTGAAGGCAGACATAAGATAGTCCAAATTAGACAGTATAGGAAACACATAGCTGCCTCCTTCTTAGAAAAAAATGTGTACAAAATGTATACATTGCAGAAAAGTGCACACAGAAATCTGTATGATATTAACGCATTTTTGCACGTTATTTTCACTAAGGGACTATATTAGGGGAAATGTTTGTGAAAGTGCTTATGCTTTTTTTCCCATTGGGTTGGAGAAATGCTGCCTGAACTTAAGATTGCAAAAATGAGAAACTAAGGCACACCGAAACTGAGAGATTCATCCAGCCTTCCAATTATGTTACATCACACATTTCCTTTTACTAGATGTTGCTGGAAAGATACAGGTCAGCAGAAGTCACACTTCCCCATAATTTCTAGTTTGGGCCATAAATCACAGCACTTTCTCTGCCAACAACACAAATACAATTTCGGCACAAATTGCCTTACACAGTTGCATACTGTCCAACATTTCTCTGATGAAAATAGGGACGTCCTATTTCATCACCACCACCACCATTTTATTATTTATACCCCACCCATCTGCCTGGGTTGTCCCAGCCACTCTGGGCAGCTTTCAACACATATAAAAACATAATAAAACATTCAACATTCAACAACTTCCCTATAGAGGGCTGCCTTCAGATGTCTTCCAAAGGTTGTATAGTTACTTATCTCCTTGGCTCGGGGGTCGCATAACTCCAAATCCTCCAACATTTCTCTGATAAAAATAGGGACATGTATGTAAGTGAAAGCTGGACCATAAAGAAGGCTGATCGCCGAAGAATTGATGCTTTTGAATTACAGTGGTACCTCGCAAGACGAATGCCTCGCAAAACGAAAAACACGCAAGACGAAAGAGTTTTCCGTTTTTTGAGTCGTTCCACAAGACGAATTTCCCTATGGGCTTGCTTCGCAAGACGAAACGTCTTGCGAGTTCTTGCGAGTTTGTTTCCTTTTTCTTAAAGCTGCTAAGCCGCTAATAGCCATGCTTCGCAAGACGAAAAAACCGCAAGACGAAGAGACTCGCGGAACGGATTAATTTTGTCTTGCGAGGCACCACTGTATGGTGCTGGAGGAGACTCTTGAGAGTCCCATGGACTGCAAGAAGATCAAACCTCTCCATTCTGAAGGAAATCAGCCCTGAGCGCTCACTGGAAGGACAGATCCTGAAGCTGAGGCTCCAATACATTGGCCACTTCATGAGAAGAGAAGACTCCCTGGAAAAGACCCTGATGTTGGGAAAGATGGAGGGCACAAGGAGAAGGGGACGACAGAGGACGAGATGGTTGGACGGTGTTCTCGAAGCTACAAACATGAGTCTGACCAAACTGCGGGAGGCAGTGGAAGATAGAAGTGCCTGGTGTGCTCTGGTCCATGGGGTCACGAAGAGTCGGACACGACTAAACGACAACAACAACAACAAGGAAATGCAGGACATTCTGAAATCAAATCAGAAACCAGGATGGCTTCTGTAAATCCAGGACTGTCCTTGGAAAATAGGGACATTTGAAGGGTCTGCATTTGTGTGAGCAACCATTAATGTTTGTTTGCCCATCAGACTTTACCTTCTTGTATATACTTCAGACAGGCAGCCAGCCAGGCAGCCAGCCAGGCAGCCAGCTTGGCTTTTTTCTGACTTCAGATACTGTTCAACTAATGATCTGTCCCTGTAAGCATTAACGTCATAGGTACTAGCCAATCAACAGCTCCCACAGCCAGCTTTCCCCCATTCAAATGAAAACAGTCAAGCTGTAGGATAGGCTGAGCCTCTGCATGTTTACTGAGAAGAAAATTCCATTCACTTCAGAGGGAGCTTTCCCCACCCAATTCAAATGGTAAACACATAGGCCTCGTCTGAATTAGGACCACCAAGGACGTCTACGGCCAAACTACCCTGAACACGCCCGATCTTGTCTGATCTTGGAAGCTAAGCAGGGTTTGACCTGGTTAGAACTTAGATGGGAGACCGCCTAGGATTACCGGGTGCCGTAGGCTAACCCACTTGCCGGGTAAGAATCGCTTTTACAGAATTCCAATTCCGATTGATGCCCTCGGCGGTGGTGGATGGTCGTTATGGCAAAGTACAGTAGAAGGAGAGACTTTGTCTGTGTGGGCAACCTTGCGTAGAGGACCTGTACCACTATTTATTGCAATGCCCGCTATATATAGAACCAAGAGGCCGATTTATAAAACCCCTGCTCACGAACAGAACACACTCGAACAGGTCAGAAAGGGTGAAATGGCTGCTGAGTGATACTGATGGCTTTATAACTTATAAAGTAGCACTATATGCATTGGCAGCTAAGAAGATCAGAAGAAAAGAACTAGATAAAATAGCGGTCAATTGCAAAGGTGATTTGGACATTTAAACTGGTACATTCTGCCTGAGAACCCCTTGCTATTCTATCGTATGCAACAAATAATTTTTAGGAGAAGTGATCGTGGTTTATTCTATCTGCAGTGCCTGATATTTTCATAGTTTTTATGCTTATTGTTGCTTTTCTTTTTGTTCCCATTGTGAATGATGCCGTGGCCTTTGGCTAGTGCAATAAAATTTATGATGATGCTGATGATGAACACCGAAGGAAGAAAAGGTTAAACTCTACTCCCTGATACTAATGCCTGGATCAGGAGTTCTGCACTGGAAATTGTGTTAACACAACAAACTTTTGCTTCAAGGCACAGCTACCTCGCTAATGTAGCATATAGTTTCACCATCAGTCTCTCAAGAAATCCAGTAAGGAGTTGATTTTTTTTTTTTTAAGGTGACCAGTTCACAGAATAGGAAGTTGTGATATTTGGGGAGTATGGCTCACCCCTAGTGATGTCACTGGAACTGATCCACAGGTATATTTGTGTGACTTGCGCTATCACAATGTACACAGCTTTCCAAAGCGCAAGCTTGTGATAACTTGGAGGAGGAAGGAAGTAGCATTTTCATTGACTGACAAGGGCCAAAACACATAACTTATATGGCATGTCACACTTTCCTGTTTGTTTGTTTATTGAATTTATATCCCGCCCTTCCTCCCCAAGGAACCCAGAGGGGCAAACAGATAAACAATTTAAAAACAAAAACAAACCAAAAACAGTTAAAACAGTTAAAATATTCTGAAAGCAAACATCTAAAAGCAGTTACACTTAAACAACAACAACATTCTTCTATCCAATGATCTTGGAGTTGCCAGGAACAGTATTCTTCAGCCACCAAATTCCTGGTTAAACATTCCTCCTGAAAGTTTGCAATGATGGAGACAAGCGTGCCTCACTGGGGCAGGGGGCACATCCCACAACCGAAGAACTGCCACTGAAAAGGCCCTGTCAACTGGGCAGCCTCACCTGCCAGTCATACAGTCCAAGATGATTGGTGCTGGGGAAAACCTTTTTAAGAAATTGGGTCCCAAGCCATTAAGGCCTTATAGAATGCTACTAAGCCACAGCAGGCACCGTGATCTTCCAACAGTTTGACTTCATGCCCAAAGGCACACTCCTCCATTGTCTCCCAAGACAGATGGATGCCAACCAACCAACCAACCACCATGCTGAATTTCATCTCGTAGCTCACTGGCACCTAGTGGAGCACTTTCAGAACCAGAGCCACATGGTCCCATTGGGCTGCCCCACTTATCAACCCAACAGCCACATTCTTCACTAACTGCAGCCTCTGGACTATCTTCAAGGGCAGCGCATTACAGTAGTGCAAGCAGAAGATCACGAGAGCATGGCCAACTGAGGTCAAGCCAACCCAGTCCAGGAACAACCAAAGCTAGGCTTAAGTACTCCTCGCCACAGAAGCTGCTTGAGATTCTAGCAACAAGTCCAAATCTAGGAGTACTACAATCCTGATATTTAAAGGGGGAGTGCAGCCCCTCCCAGAAAGATGTCATACACCTCATTCTTGGACATAGGAACCACCTACCCACAACACTTCCATCAGCCTCAGTTTATTGCCCCCTGCATCCAGTCTTATCAGTGCCTCCAGACAGGTCATCACCTTCACAGCCTTTCCTGATTCTGATGGAATGGAGAGATAGAGATGCATATCATAATGACGACACCATGGTCCAAATCCTCAGGTGGTATCCCACAATGGTTTCATATCTCCTATTGCACAGGAGACAGAATGGATCCTTTTGGGACCCCCACAGCCCAAAAGCCATGGAGCCAAGCAACAAGTTCTTAGTGCTACTTTCTGGTAGTGACCCTGCAGGTAGCAGCAGAACCAACTCCCACTTCCCTGAGTCACTCTGGAAGAATGCCATAGTATCAAAACCTGAGACAGCAAGGAGAACTCTCTCCCAATTCAGGTAATTAATGAGTAAGGCTGAAATCAGATCATCTGCTTCCACCAAGGATACCCGCAGCTGACTGGCCGCTACCTTCTCAATCACCTTGCCCAATAAAGGAATATTGGAATCTGGACAGTAGTTTTGCAAAATCTCTGGATCCAGGGAGGAACGCCCACATCACCACATCTGTGCTGGGCCCAGGGGTAACTCGTGAAATGCGGTCCAGGACCAGTTCAGAATCCGAAGGTTCCGCAAGGAGTCAGTCCGACAGGGTCAAGGCAGGACATGAGGTAGGAAACCAGACAAGGACAGGTGCAGGGTCTGGCATATAGCAATGTTGCTCCCGCAACCTGGGGCGGGGTCCGACAGCCTTTTATCTTCGTCAGGGTAACGGCCGGTCCTAATCCCCTGGCAACTCACCTCCCTGTTTTGCCCAAAGGCGAGCACTCCTCCTGCGAGTACTCAGGTCTCTCCTTCTCTCAGACCTTAGTCTCTGCAGCTCGGGAGACGTCGGTGGGTTACTAGACCCAGGGGCCGCCTCAGCCTCCCCTGACCAAACCGGTAGTGGAGCAGCTGTAAGTGATGGCCCAGCTGGAGGCAACGAGGGAATCCCTGCATCTGGAGCCAGGGCAGGCTCAGGCCCCTGACTCAGCCCAGCTGGTGTTTGTTGCAGGGGAACCTGTGCAGACTGGGACTCTTCAGGATCAGGCCCCAGACTTAGTTCAGATCCTACCTGAGGCAAAGGATCTGGTGAGGACTGAGACTCCTCTGGTTCCGAGTCCAAGCCCGAGTCCCAGGCCATCACCACGTCTTTCAAAGCAGTGGGCATATGTCAGGCACTGGCTAGACACAGAGGAATGCTGGGAGGCACTGGCTGGGGAACCCCCAAGGGAAGAAGTCTCAGAGCCAGGGGATTGGTGGTGGGACGATGATGAGTGGAGAAAACCGGGAGGAGGATGTGTTGGAAGCCGAAGAGGTAACAGGGCTTAGTGAGCAGGGAGAGTCTGTGGTGGAATGAAGTACAGAATTAGAAGCTGAAGCTGAAGCAGGAGAGGAGGGAGGCCAAGAGGGGTCCAGTTTGTGAAGAGGAACAGGTGTCTCCTCTTGCTGCTGCGACAAGCTCCCCTCCCCACTTGTCTCCCAGCATAAGCATGGAGCGGGAGGAGCAAAGGCAGACACTCAGTCTCAGATTGCTTGGGGAAAGCTCTGGAGAGGAAGAGACTTAGGCAGCTGTGAGAAGGTGGGGGCCTTCAGTGTCTGCAACTGCTTCATACTGGCAGGCCCTACCGAAGAAGAGTTGCTGTGTTCATTAGGCCTGACACTCCTGAGCAGATCCTGTTTCTTCAGATAAAGAGTTAACTCCTGATGGCATAACTTCTTCTCACGGTGAGGCACTGAACATCCGCTGGGCCCACACAGTCAATCCCCTCCTACTAGACGTTATCAGTCTTACTGAGCAGGGATCTAGAGCAGGCATAGGCCCTCCAGATGTTTGGGACTACAATTCCCATCATCACTGACCACTGGTCCTGTTAGTTAGGGTTGATGGGAATTGTAGTCCCAAACATCTGGAGGGACAGAGTTTGCCTGTGCCTGATCTAGAGTGTAGTTTTGTTAAGTGTGCTGGGAACCGTAGCTCTGTGAGGGGTAAACTGCAGTTATTTGGGGGGGACTATTAAAGCCATAAGGGACGCGGGTGGTGCTGTGGGTTAAACCACAGAGCCTAGGACTTGCTGATCAGAAGGTCGGCGGTTCGAATCCCCGCGACGGGGTGAGCTCCTGTTGCTTGGTCCCTGCTCCTGCCAACCTAGCAGTTCGAAAGCACGTCAAAGTGCAAGTAGATAAATAGGTACCACTCCGGTGGGAAGGCAAACGGCGTTTCCGTGCGCTGCTCTGGTTCGCCAGAAGCGGCTTAGTCATGCTGGCCACATGACCCGGAAGCTGTACGCCGGCTCCCTGGGCCAATAAAGCGAGATGAGCGCCGCAACCCCAGAGTCGGCCACGACTGAACCTAATGGCCAGGGGTCCCTTTACCTTTACCTTTATTAAAGCCATATGCTTTACACGTATGGTGAGTACACAGCCCAGCTGTAAAACAGCTCCTTATGACCGACTTTGATGCTGAAAGGCAGGAACTGAAAAACCATATGCAGAACACAATAAATAAAAGAATCAGTGCACCATGGCGCCACCAGACCTGCCCAAGGATCCACGTTGAGGCAGGATTATAAGATGTTGCTGAGTCTGTGGCTGAACCTTCCATTGCTCTGAGTCACTCCTTCCATTGGACTGAACTGGCGCTGGCTTTGTATGCAGAGAACGCGGAGCTTGCTTCTCCCAATTTGTAAGCTGCAGCCTCGGCTGCTGTCCTGGCAGGAGTCTGTCAGCACCCAGCGGGTGGGTGTTCCCTTTTGTGTCAGCCAGCCTAAGGAGGAACGCCCTGCAGCGGAATTCCTTCGCTGAGCTCCCTCAAGGTGGGGCAGTGCTGCCGTTGGAGGCCTGCCTAAAAGCTGGGCAGGGCTCCTGGTGGCAAAATCCAGCCCGTGGTGGAAACAAAAGGACCTGGGAGTTGGAACTCTGAGCAACCTGCAAAGCATGGAAGGCACAGCATGGCGCCCCTCCCAGGAACACAACAGCTGTGCACCAGGAGATCACGTACCAAAGCCTCTCCCTCGGCACCTCGTTTGAAACTATGGGATATGTACA